ATAGATTTGGCTGGATTAATATATTTGCAAGCCTTACACGACCCACATTTGTAGGTACCCTTCGTCTGTGTTAGCCAACATGGAGCTATGATGGGGGGTTCCAGGTGACTGTGGACAAGGGAATCTCTCAAATTCTTAGGTCTTCGTGCCGTGAGAGTAGGGTGTAAGGTGATATTATCTTGAAGTTCTTTATCGTGTAAAAGAATTGGCCAGTTATTTGTCAAAATTTTTCTCACGGGTTCCCAATATTGGTCAAAGGTGCCAATACATCTTATAGTTTGTTTTGGTAATACAGGTCTCGAAGAACGAAGACAGAGTGATCTGTCCATGCTATTTACCTTTTGGTACGCTTTTTTTAGAATTCTATTAGGATACCCCTGTTCCTTGAATCTGGCTTTTATATCCTTTGCTTCTTTCTGGAAGGCAATCTCTTGGGAGCAGTTTCTCCGTGCCCTTAGATACTGGCCGTAGGGTATAGCGGCCTTCAATTTAAATGGGTGGTGGCTTTGCCAGTGCAATAAGCTGTTGGTAGCAGTGGCCTTTCTGTACAGTTCAGTTGTTACTGTGCCATCCATACCCAATATAATTCTCAGATCTAGAAATTCCAATGTCTTTTCATCAATGACAGATGTTAATTGCAATCCGATGTTATTGTCATTGAGAATATTCACGAACTGTTGGAATTTCACAATAGATCCTGTCCAGAAAAGAAGCACATCATCGATGTATCTATGCCAATTCAATATCAATTGGCGGTACTCATAGTCAATTTCCGATACTAAAGTTTCTTCCCACCAGCCTAGGTATAGGTTGGCATAACTAGGGGCACAGGCTGTCCCCATAGCGGTGCCCTTAATCTGCAAATAATATATTCCGTTAAATACAAAATAATTATGTGTTAGCACAAAGGTAAGTAGATCTAGTATGAATTGTTGGTGTTGTGTGGAGAATTTATTGGACTTCTGTACAAAATAGGAGGTAGCTTTAATGCCTATGTCATGTGGGATATTATTATATAATGATACCACATCTAGACTCGCAAGAAGAGTGTAAGGTGGAACAGTTAGATGTTCTAAGGTCAATAGAGTCTGTTTTGTATCTTGTAGAAAAGAGTCTAGCCCTATAACAAAGGGATGTAAAAGATTTTCAAGAAATGTGCTTGCATTTTCTGTAAGGCATTGATTTCCAGAGACAATTGGTCTACCCGGAGGGTGAGTGAGATTTTTATGCACCTTTGGCAGGCAATAGAAGGTAGCAATGGTTGGTGAATTTTTAGGCAGAATAAATCTCGATTCGTCATTAGTTATGATGCCTTTTGTCGTGGCACCGTCTAATAAGGTTCGAAGAGATTTAAAATAGGATGAGGTGGGGTCTTCGCCCAATTTACTGTAGCAAGAGGAATTATTTAAATGTATGAGACACATATCCACATATGTCTCCCTTTCCATTATAACTATGTTGCCACCCTTATCTGATGGTTTTATGACAATATTTTTATTGTTACTTAGGTCTTTAAAGGCTTTTTGTTCACCAAATGAAAGATTGTTTTGTTGAATTATAGGTGTGGGTAAGGATTCGATTGTCTCGGTACTCATTTTTACAAACAGGTCCACGTTAATATCGTCTCTAAAATTGGGGGTAAACCAACTTAGTGGTTTAAAGCTGGTAAGTGGAGGTGCAGTTTCTTGTTCAGTAAGAAGTTGTGCCAGAGTTTGAAAATGTATAAAATCTTCATTGGTAAGACCTAATTCCTTCGCTTCTTTATTATTTTTCTTTTTATGTAGTGAGCATAAGGCTAGTTTACGGCCAAATAGGTTAATATCCTTCAGCCATTCAAACTTGTCTGCGCTCGGGGTGGGTACGAATGATAACCCTTTATTCAATAGTGTAATGTGATCAGGAAGGAGTTTGAAATTTGAAAGATTGATAATTTTCATGTTGGAAATATCCAACTGATCTAATTCCTGGAGTTGCTGCGATTGGGTTTGTACCCCCATCTCTGCCGGTCTCGTAACCTTCCCCTCTGTGGTAGGGGCCAGGCTTGGTCTAAAAAAGAAGTAGAGCCCGACGAGGATACTGTAGTAGATGGGGGAGGGGTGTCTAAGAAAGCTACAGTTTTGTTTGGATCTTTTAATATCCCCCTTCTTGTAGAATGGGGGGTTTTCAAGCCAGAGGATGGATTCTTGCCTTGTGTTGGGCCGGAATCTGAGTCCATCCATTCTGTATTGCCTGAAGAGTAACTATTTTTTCTATTAGCTCGTATGTTTGATCTCTTGGTTTGCTTAAATATTGTGCCTTCCTTGAAATCTTTATAATCTCGTTGAAATTTGTAATGTTTCTTTTCTTTAATATGTGTTGTGAAGTTGTCTATATTGTTTTGTAATTTGTTTTCCATTAGTGTGTACTCTGAATTAGACTGGAATTCTTTGACTTTGATAACCTCATTTTGTAAATCTTTATTTACTTTTTCAAAATTCTCCTCCTCAAGTTTGACAAGAAACTGCATAAGTTTGTATGAGCAGTTTATAAGAATGTCATTCCACTCTTTAAGTTTATCCTCAGTATTAACTTTATCGGGTGTGGAAATCTCCGGTCTTAACCCTCTTGGTACCAATTTCTGGTCTAGATAATGGCGTAGACTGGTGACTTCCCAATACCCTTTTATTTGTAGCTTATATAGTTGCTGAATTGAAAAAAATACATTGTTAATATCATTCGGATTATTACATCCCAAGGGTTCTAATGAGAAGACATTGCTAATGTCATTTGGTCTAGCTGTTGGGTCAGCAACTCCAGCTAGAAGTGTTGTCATTTGAGGTGGGAGGATAAACAGAGGCTGAATTTGGGTATTAAAACCCTAAGCTTAAATATCATAAAAAACAAGAAAGAGAAAAGGGGGGGGGGTGATTTAAATAAACATCTCCTATGTGGGGAATAACCCCTAGTGAATAGCTTCACCAAAAATGCACAAGAAAGAAGAAAAAAGGAGAAAAATAGGACAGACTAGTACCAATAGTCCTAGTAGAGTGGGTTTCCCTTAGAGAAAAGGGAAAAATTGGCGGGAACCGTTAGTGTCTAAATAGCACAATCCCAAATATAAAACGTAGCTTTTAATAATAACTAACTAAAAAAACACAAATAATGGTGGATACAATTGCCCTCCAAGATAGCTATGTCTGTATATAGCCGAACAGCGGCACCTCCAGGAGCGGTCAGGAGAATAGCAGAGTGTAACAAAAAGGTGGGAAGATGTTACAAAATAAGTAAACACACGCTACTTAAGTAGTGTAATAAGTAACCACACACTGCTTGATAATAATACCCTCACAGGATGATAAAGTATCAAGGTGGAATACTGTCAGGATAAATAGTAAATTATATGGTATGATTACCAATACAATAAACCTTACAGGATCCTGTTTGATGCTGTAAGTGAGAACCTGTCCAATTGTAAAGCTAAATAGCTGACACAAATTAGGGAGAGAGGTAGCTAATGATAAATGTGGCAAGGGAGAAAAAACAACAACTAAGCACTCAGTAGATATGTGAGATATATAGGAGCCCTAGCCGCTTGTGCCTTCAAGGGCACCCCTTAACCCAAAAAGCCTAATAGCTCCTAATACTTGTCAGTAGTATGCCCACCCCCAAATTAGAGAATGCGCTCAAAAGATAAATATCGATGCCGTAAATGCTCCTAACCGGAACCCCCAGGATTCGGAGTTGCCGATGGGTATAGATTTATCCTGTTTAAGTAGCAGGGTAGCAAAGTATAAAGACACTGGTGGTGCAGTTCAAAAGGAAAGGATAACGCCGGGTACAAGCCCCTGACGCGCGTTTCGCCACTCAAAGCTCTTCAGAGGGGAACTGAGCTCCCGTTCCGATCCGGTTTATATAGGAGAGAAGGTCGAGTCCCATTGGTCAATTGGTTAGCCAATGGGAGGTTCGGCAGTCTATAGTGGGTGGGGTTACAGTGTAACCCTTACTCTGCCGATGCCAAATTACGTAATTGTTACAGTAACAAGTCATTCAAGTGATGATACACTTTACCTTAATGGCATTATCCTACTGAGGAGGAGGAGACGTCAGTGGAAGGTTTCTGACAGGATAATGAGCTAAATTATCCTAAATACCGTGCAATGTCCACATAGAGAACCCGGTGGTCCAAATAAGATATAAATGGGAATATAAGTAAGTATACAGAGGAACCAAGTGTATTAGTAATTAGAGGTGTCTCAAGGTAGCTGAGACACGAAAAGAAAAGAAAATTGTACCACAACTAAGGAGACAATATAAACAAAATATAATTTTATTAATGTATGAATGGGGTGAAATTGAATTCTTCATTAAGACCCGAGGGTGTGTGAGTTTTGAATTCATGAATCCATTTGGACTCCCTTTTCAAAAGTCTTATATTAAAGTCACCTCTTCTGGCATTGGTAGATAAGCGTTCAATGGCTTGAAAGTGGAGGCTAGATGGATCCCCTTGATGTTGAGATCGAACATGGTTAGCTACTGGTGTATAGATGTTAATATTGGTGACTGAATTAATGTGTTGTAGGATGCGTCTCCGAAATTGTTGGTATGTCTTACCTATGTACTGAATATTGCAATTGCATGTAATGACATAGATAATTCTAGTAGTACTGCAATTGATAAAATCACGAATAACATATTGTTTATTAGTTTTAGTGCAAAGAATAGATTTTGCTGGATTAATATATTTGCAAGCCTTACACGACCCACATTTGTAGGTACCCTTCGTCTGTGTTAGCCAACATGGAGCTATACTCTACTAGGACTATTGGTACTAGTCTGTCCTATTTTTCTCCTTTTTTCTTCTTTCTTGTGCATTTTTGGTGAAGCTATTCACTAGGGGTTATTCCCCACATAGGAGATGTTTATTTAAATCACCCCCCCCCCTTCTCTTTCTTGTTTTTTATGATATTTATGCTTAGGGTTTTAATACCCAAATTCAGCCTCTGTTTATCCTCCCACCTCAAATGACAACACTTCTAGCTGGAGTTGCTGACCCAACAGCTAGACCAAATGACATTAGCAATGTCTTCTCATTAGAACCCTTGGGATGTAATAATCCGAATGATATTAACAATGTATTTTTTTCAATTCAGCAACTCTATAAGCTACAAATAAAAGGGTATTGGGAAGTCACCAGTCTACGCCATTATCTAGACCAGAAATTGGTACCAAGAGGGTTAAGACCGGAGATTTCCACACCCGATAAAGTTAATACTGAGGATAAACTTAAAGAGTGGAATGACATTCTTATAAACTGCTCATACAAACTTATGCAGTTTCTTGTCAAACTTGAGGAGGAGAATTTTGAAAAAGTAAATAAAGATTTACAAAATGAGGTTATCAAAGTTAAAGAATTCCAGTCTAATTCAGAGTACACACTAATGGAAAACAAATTACAAAACAATATAGACAACTTCACAACACATATTAAAGAAAAGAAACATTACAAATTTCAACGAGATTATAAAGATTTCAAGGAAGGCACAATATTTAGGCAAACCAAGAGATCAAACATACGAGCTAATAGAAAAAATAGTTACTCTTCAGGCAATACAGAATGGACGGACTCAGATTCCGGCCCAACACAAGGCAAGAATCCATCCTCCGGCTTGAAAACCCCCCATTCTACAAGAAGGGGGATATTAAAAGATCCAAACAAAACTGTAGCTTTCTTAGACACCCCTCCCCCATCTACTACAGTATCCTCGTCGGGCTCTACTTCTTTTTTAGACCAAGCCTGGCCCCTACCACAGAGGGGAAGGTTACGAGACCGGCAGAGATGGGGGTACAAACCCAATCGCAGCAACTCCAGGAATTAGATCAGTTGGATATTTCCAACATGAAAATTATCAATCTTTCAAATTTCAAACTCCTTCCTGATCACATTACACTATTGAATAAAGGGTTATCATTCGTATCCACCCCGAGCGCAGACAAGTTTGAATGGCTGAAGGATATTAACCTATTTGGCCGTAAACTAGCCTTATGCTCACTACATAAAAAGAAAAATAATAAAGAAGCGAAGGAATTAGGTCTTACCAATGAAGATTTTATACATTTTCAAACTCTGGTACAATTTCTTACTGAACAAGAAACTGCACCTCCACTTACCAGCTTTAAACCACTAAGTTGGTTTACCCCCAATTTTAGAGACGATATTAACGTGGACCTGTTTGTAAAAATGACTACCGAGACAATCGAATCCTTACCCACACCTACAATTCAACAAAACAATCTTTCATTTGGTGAACAAAAAGCCTTTAAAGACCTAAGCAACAATAAAAATATTGTCATAAAACCATCAGATAAGGGTGGTAACATAGTTATAATGGAAAGGGAGACATATGTGGATATGTGTCTCATACATTTAAATAATTCCTCTTGCTACAGTAAATTGGGCGACGACCCCACCTCATCCTATTTTAAATCTCTTCGAACCTTATTAGACGGTGCCATGACAAAAGGCATCATAAATAATGACGAATCGAGATTTATTCTGCCTAAAAATTCACCAACCATTGCCACCTTCTATTGCCTGCCAAAGGTGCATAAAAATCTCACTCACCCTCCGGGTAGACCAATTGTCTCTGGAAATCAATGCCTTACAGAAAATGCAAGCAGATTTCTTGAAAATCTTTTACATCCCTTTGTTATAGGGCTAGACTCTTTTCTACAAGATACAAAACAGACTCTATTGACCTTAGAACATCTAACTGTTCCACCTTACACTCTTCTTGCGAGTCTAGATGTGGTATCATTATATAATAATATCCCACATGACATAGGCATTAAAGCTACCTCCTATTTTTTACAGAAGTCCAATAAATTCTCCACACAACACCAACAATTCATACTAGATCTACTTACCTTTGTGCTAACACATAATTATTTTGTATTTAACGGAATATATTATTTGCAGATTAAGGGCAACGCTATGGGGACAGCTTGTGCCCCTAGTTATGCCAACCTATACCTAGGCTGGTGGGAAGAAACTTTAGTATCGGAAATTGACTATGAGTACCGCCAATTGATATTGAATTGGCATAGATACATCGATGATGTGCTTCTTTTCTGGACAGGATCTATTGTGAAATTCCAACAGTTCGTGAATATTCTCAATGACAATAACATCGGATTGCAATTAACATCTGTCATTGATGAAAAGACATTGGAATTTCTAGATCTGAGAATTATATTGGGTATGGATGGCACAGTAACAACTGAACTGTACAGAAAGGCCACTGCTACCAACAGCTTATTGCACTGGCAAAGCCACCACCCATTTAAATTGAAGGCCGCTATTCCCTACGGCCAGTATCTAATGGCACGGAGAAACTGCTCCCAAGAGATTGCCTTCCAGAAAGAAGCAAAGGATATAAAAGCCAGATTCAAGGAACAGGGGTATCCTAATAGAATTCTTAAAAAAGCGTACCAAAAGGTAAATAGCATGGACAGATCACTCTGTCTTCGTTCTTCGAGACCTGTATTACCAAAACAAACTATAAGATGTATTGGCACCTTTGACCAATATTGGGAACCCGTGAGAAAAATTTTGACAAATAACTGGCCAATTCTTTTACACGATAAAGAACTTCAAGATAATATCACCTTACACCCTACTCTCACGGCACGAAGACCTAAGAATTTGAGAGATTCCCTTGTCCACAGTCACCTGGAACCCCCCATCATAGCTCCATGTTGGCTAACACAGACGAAGGGTACCTACAAATGTGGGTCGTGTAAGGCTTGCAAATATATTAATCCAGCCAAATCTATTCTTTGCACTAAAACTAATAAACAATATGTTATTCGTGATTTTATCAATTGCAGTACCACTAGAATTATCTATGTCATTACATGCAATTGCAATATTCAGTACATAGGTAAGACATACCAACAATTTCGGAGACGCATCCTACAACACATTAATTCAGTCACCAATATTAACATCTATACACCAGTAGCTAACCATGTTCGATCTCAACATCAAGGGGATCCATCTAGCCTCCACTTTCAAGCCATTGAACGCTTATCTACCAATGCCAGAAGAGGTGACTTTAATATAAGACTTTTGAAAAGGGAGTCCAAATGGATTCATGAATTCAAAACTCACACACCCTCGGGTCTTAATGAAGAATTCAATTTCACCCCATTCATACATTAATAAAATTATATTTTGTTTATATTGTCTCCTTAGTTGTGGTACAATTTTCTTTTCTTTTCGTGTCTCAGCTACCTTGAGACACCTCTAATTACTAATACACTTGGTTCCTCTGTATACTTACTTATATTCCCATTTATATCTTATTTGGACCACCGGGTTCTCTATGTGGACATTGCACGGTATTTAGGATAATTTAGCTCATTATCCTGTCAGAAACCTTCCACTGACGTCTCCTCCTCCTCAGTAGGATAATGCCATTAAGGTAAAGTGTATCATCACTTGTATGACTTGTTACTGTAACAATTACGTAATTTGGCATCGGCAGAGTAAGGGTTACACTGTAACCCCACCCACTATAGACTGCCGAACCTCCCATTGGCTAATCAATTGACCAATGGGACTCGACCTTCTCTCCTATATAAACCGGATTGGAACGGGAGCTCAGTTCCCCTCTGAAGAGCTTTGAGTGGCGAAACGCGCGTCAGGGGCTTGTACCCGGCGTTATCCTTTCTTTTTGAACTGCACCACCAGTGTCTTTATACTTTGCTACCCTGCTACTTAGACAGGATAAATCTATACCCATCGGCAACTCCGAATCCTGGGGGTTCCGGTTAGGAGCATTTACGGCATCGATATTTATTTTTTGAGCGCATTCTCTAATTTGTGGGTGGGCATACTACTGACAAGTATTAGGAGCTATTAGGCTTTTTGGGTTAAGGGGTGCCCTTGAAGGCACAAGCGGCTAGGGCTCTTATATATCTCACATATCTACTGAGTGCTTAGTTGTTGTTGTTTTTTCTCCCTTGCCACATTTATCATTAGCTACCTCTCTCCCTAATTTGTGTCAGCTATTTAGCTTTACAATTGGACAGGTTCTCACTTACAGCATCAAACAGGATCCTGTAAGGTTTATTATATTGGTAATCATACCATATAATTTACTATTTATCCTGACAGTATTCCACCTTGATACTGTATCATATCCTGTGAGGGTATTATAGACTCACAGTGGATACTGTCTTGACAATATATCCACACAACTTATTATCAAGCAGTGTGTGGTTACTTATTACACTACTTAAGTAGCGTGTGTTTACTTATTTTGTAACATCTTTCCACCTTTTTGTTACACTCTGCTATTAATAGCTGCCAGTCCCCAAGAGGGACTCTTTTCCTGACCGCTCCTGGAGGTGCCGCTGTTCGGCTATATACAGACAAAGCTATCTTGGAGGGCAATTGTATCCACCATTATTTGTGTTTTTTTAGTTAGTTATTATTAAAAGCTACGTTTTATATTTGGGATTGTGCTATTCAGACACTAACGGTTCCCGCCATTATTTCCCTTTTCTCTAAGGGAAACCCACTCTACTAGGACTATTGGTACTAGTCTGTCCTATTTTTCTCCTTTTTTCTTCTTTCTTGTGGATATATATATCTATGTATATATAAATAAATACAAATAATACGAAATATACATATATCCATATTCAAAATTACATAAATAATTTCACGTATATATATATATATATATATATATATATTTAAATTCTACATGCATATTTATGTAATATTTTTACATAGTTAAGTAATTTTATTGATTGCAATTAGAGGGACCTGCCTGACAACCCAGGCCTAAAGTCCAGAGAATTTAATTTGGTAGCACTGTGTTTAACCCTGTAACTTTCTATGGCACCCTAAAACCTGTACTTCAGGGGTACTGTTTTACTCGGGAGACTTCGCTGAACACAAACATTAGTGTTTCAAAACAGTAAAACATATCACAGCGATGATATTGTCAGTGAAAGTGAAGTTTTTTGCATTTTTCACACACAAACGGCACTTTCACTGATGATATTGTTGTGATAAGTTTTACTGTGTTGAAACACTAATATTTGTGTTCAGCAAAGACTTCCTTAGTATAACAGTACCCCCCCATGTACAGGCTTTATCGTGTTTTTGAAATTTACAGGGTCAAATATAAGGCTTGATTTTCCTTTTCTTTTTTTACATTGAAATTTGCCAGATTGGTTCTTTTGCCTTTGAGAGTGTATGGTAGCCCAGGAATGAGAATTACCCCCATGATGGCATACCATTTGCAAAAGAAGACAATCCAAGGTATTGCAAATGGGGTATGTTCAGCCTTTTTTAGTAGCCATTTAGTCATAAACACTGGCCAAAGTTAGCGTTTATAATTGTTTTTTGCATTTTTAACACAAAAACAAATATAAATGCTAACTTTGGCTAGTGTTTGTGACTCAGTGGCTACTAAAAAAGACTGGACATACCCCATATTGAATACCCTGAGTTGTCTACTTTAAAAAAATATGTGCATGTGAGGTGTGATTCAGGGATTTATGACAGATAACAGTGTTACAATGTCACTATTGATATATTTAAAAAATATATATTTTGAAACAGCAATTTCATACTTGTACTTATAGCCCTATAACTTGCAAAAAAAAAAAAAGCATGTAAACACCGGGTGTTTTTAAACTTTAAAATTTTGAATCTATTTAGCAGTTTTTTTCATTAGCTTTTGTAGGTAAGTGACAGATTTTTCAAGTAAAAGTCCAAAAACATGTTTTTTTTTCAATGTTTCATCATATTTTATTATTTTTTTTAAGTAAAATATATGACATGATAGAAATAATGGTA